GTTGTGGTTAGGTTATTTCCGGGAAAAGCCAGCTTCTGTTTGCACTGGTCTTCACTACCGTTACTGGATCTTTTTACTTCATTTATTGTTATATATACATCAATGAGAGGTATGGTATGGCATCCAATAGAATGGTTTTATCTATAATGCACAGACCTGTGGAATTGTTAATTTACGTCAGCTTAGACACTTTGTATGTATAACTGGGAATAAATAACTATCATTGTGCATATTCTTTCTGTTTTAAAACATTTTCTATGTAAGTACTTCGAAGTTAGAGATTTTTTAAGTTCCTAATACGATAAACTTTTAAGTCTTGATAACCTATAAGAGAGAGGGTATAATTATATTTTCAAGCAGTGGAAAATTACAGACTCCCCAGAGAAATCCAGCAAGTTGGTACATACAAGGAATTAAAGCCAGGACTCCTAGTTGCAGGGTCTCATTTTGCTGCTGCACGAGGAACTGTGTGTAGAGCTTCTACTTATTCTTTTCACTTAGTCAATTTTTCTTAAATTTCTGCTGTGTGCCATCTTTATTACATTTGCCATGCTTAAAATAATATCTGTACCATAATTTACTTAATAATATATTTTTTTGTCTTTTCTTGTATTTTTCCTAATTCACATTAAAACAAATATATTAACTTTTTTTTTTTTTTGGAGACAGTCTCACTGTGTTGCCCGGGCTAGAGTGCTGTGGCATCAGCCTACTCACAGCACCTCAAACTCCTGGGCTCAAGCAATTCTCCTGCCTCAGCTCCCAGTAGCTGGGACTACAGGCATGCACCCCCATGCCTGGCTCATTTTTTCTATATATTTTTAGTTAGCCAATTAATTTCTTCTTCTTTTTTTTTTTGTAGAGATGGGGTCTCGCTCTTGCTCAAGCTGGTTTCAAACTCCTGACCTTGAGCGATCCTTCTGTCTGGACCTCCCAGAGTGCTAGGATTACAGGTATGAGCCATCTCGCCCGGCCCAAATGTATAACTATTAAAATACAAAATGTTGGGCCAGGTGCAGTGGCCTGTAATCCCAGCACTTTGGGAGGCTGAGGCAGGAGGATCACTTGAAACTAGGAGTTCAAGACCAGCCTGGGCAGCATAGTGAAACCCTGACTCTACTAAAAAAAGAAAAAAAAATTAAAAATTAGCCGGGCATGATGGCACACCTAGCTGTTTGGGAGGCTGAGTTAGGAGGATTGCTTGAGCCCAGGAGTTCCAGGTTAGAGTGAGCTGTGATTACTCCACTGCATTCCAGCCTGGGCAACAGAGCAACACCCTGTCTCCACACTTGGGGAAGTACTAGACTAAGTGAGCCTCAGTTCCTTCCCACAGTCATTGAATTCATGCATATGAATACCTACAGAGTCAGGCACTGAGGATATGGCAGAGAACAAGCAGAAGTCTTATAGTCTGATGGGGGATAACAGACAGAGCATCACAGTACTAAATAAATGGCTGCATAAATAAATGGGTACTGTAAAGGAAAAGTGTAGGGGCTCTCAGAATAGGTAATAGAAGTCGGATTTATTAGAAACTAAGAAAATACAGTTTCTTATAAAGTTAAACTTATGCTTAATATATGATCTAGCAGTCCCACACCTAGGTTTGTACACAAGGGAAATGAAAACTTATGTTCACACAAAAGCTTGTATACAAATATTGATAGCAGCTTTATCTATCATCCCCCTAAACTGGAAACAACCTACTTGTCCTTTAACTGGTGAGTGAATAGACAAACTGTGGTACACTCATACAATGGGCAGCCTCTCAGCAATAAAAAGGAAATCTCACTTAATATCATGAGTGAGATTTAAAACAGTAAATCTCACTTAATATCATGAATAGGTTCTTGGAAGTGCAACTCTAATTGAAAGAAAGTATAATGAAACCAATTTTACCATAGGCTAATTGATATAAACAAGTTCCTATGGTATATTTCTGGTCACAAAAACATCACCAAACTTCTAAATAAAGACCAAAAAACTTCTAATATTAAACTTAAAATAAGTGTGAGCTATACATACTTCTAAGAAAGATTAATAAAAACAAGATGATTACCCAGTTTTTGGTGAATCAGTGAGAGATGGTGGTTGTAGTGGTGGTGGGTTAAACCAAGGAATACATGTTTGCAGTGTGAAAATTGTAAGGAGCATCTCCTACCACAGGTCAAAAGCAGACTATCAAATATGACAGGATTGCTGAGTCCTTTTGTGCTGCATTGTTTATTGTTACACATTTGTATGATTATCAACGATTTTTACAGATTTTCTTTTTACAATAATTTGTATTCATTCATTTTCCAACTTTCCACTGCCATCCAGTTCAGGGTCATGAGTGGCTGGAGCCTATCTCAGCAGCTTAGGGTGTGAGGCAGGAACCAACCCTGGACAGGATGCCATTCCATCACAGGGCGCATTCATACACACCACCACACTCACTCATGCTGGGACAGGACATTGTATGCTGGGACAGGACATGCCAATTCACCTAATGTACACAACTTTGGGAAAGTTGAGTACCTGGAAACCGGAGTACCTGGAGAAAACCTACAGAGATACGAGGAGAACCTGCATATTCTACACAGATAGGGACCCCAGCCAGAATTCAGGTTTTTTTTTTTTTTTTTTTTTTTGCGACAGAGTCTCACTTTGTTGTCCAGGCTAGAGTGAGTGCCGTGGCGTCAGCCTAGCTCACAGCAACCTCAAACTCCTGGGCTTGAGTGATCCTTCTGCCTCAGCCTCCCGAGTAGCTGGGACTACAGGCATGCGCCACCATGCCTGGCTAATTTTTTACATATATATCAGTTGGCCAATTAATTTCTTTCTATTTATAGTAGAGACGGGGTCTCGCTCTTGCTCAGGCTGGTTTTGAACTCCTGACCTTGAGCAATCCGCCCGCCTCGGCCTCCCAAGAGCTAGGATTACAGGCGTGAGCCACAGCGCCCGGCCCAGGTTTTTTTTAAACAATGTTATTCAAGGACCTGCTGTACCTGCCACAAATTTTATTGACTCTCAAATGCATTATGCTAACTGAAAGATGCCAGACTCAAAAGTCATACTGTATGACTCCATTTATGTGGCATTCTAGAAAAGACAGTACTATGGACAGAGAACTTATGAGTTCTGAGATTAAGTCTGAGGGAGGCTCGACTACAAAGGAGCAGCATAGTGGAATTTTGGGGGTGATGGAACTGTTCTGTGTCCGAATTGTGGGTCTGTGGTGGTGGTGGTGGTGGTGGTGGTGGTTATATAAGTCATAGAACTATATACCCCCCAAAAGTTAATTTTACTATGTTTAAAGCCAAGGGAAAATAAATTTTGCCTTTTTAAATATATGGGAAATATAAAAAGATGAGGAAGTTGGAACCATTCAAAGGTATTGACAACCTGGTATATTTTCTTTTGTTTTTAGCTTATCTACATTGCCTGCTCCTATGCCACAGTATACCTGATCTACATGAAATTTAAGGCTACCTATGATGGAAATCACGATACCTTCCGAGTGGAGTTTCTGGTGGTCCCTGTGGGAGGCCTCTCGTTCCTAGTCAATCATGATTTTTCTCCACTTGAGGTTAGTCCAGAGGTTATTAAAGTGGTCATGTCTGGTTCCTTAGGTAAATAGACCTGTTTGCAGATAATGTGGGTTTTTGTGGATTTTTTGGGGTTTTGTTTTCTAATTTCCCAAACTTCTTGTTTTTTTTTGAGACAGTCTCACTTTGTTGCCCAGGCTAGAGTGAGTGCCATGGCATCAGCCTAGCTCACAGCAACCTCAAACTCCTGGGCTCAAGCAGTCCTTCTGCCTCTGCCTCCCGAGTAGCTGGGACTACAGGCATGTGCCACCATGCCCGGCTAATGTTTTATATGTATTTTTTAGTTGGCCAAATAATTTCTTTCTGTTTTTAGTAGAGACAGGGTCTCGCTCTTGCTCAGGCTGGTTTCGAACTCCTGACCTTGAGCGATCCTCCTGCCTCGGCCTCCCAGAGTGCTAGGATTACAGGTGTGAGCCACTGCTCCCGGCCCCCCCAAACTTCTTTTTATACCAATATTCACTATTTGGCATAAAAAAATCATGGATAAAAATTAAGCACCTAAGTATTTGGGTGTCTGCAGGCAGCTTACTGCCTAACTCCTTTAGAATATAAATTTGAAAACGTATTTCATTAGCTTGACTTCTGCGGTACCAGACGAAGAGCCCTGCCTGTCCCAGTGTTTGAAGAACACGGTCTTTTCCCTACTCTGGGACACATTTTGTTTCCTCTTCATGTACAGAAGTTGCACATTGATACTGTGTCTATGACTCTCCTAAGCACCACAGCTATACTCCTCATCTTTATGAAGGGTAGTTTATGGTGCTTCTGTGCAGTGCACTGGTCTGCTCTGCTCCTAAGAGCTGCTGCTTAGTATCCTGGAGTTTTATCAGGTTACGGTGCTGCTCTTGGTGTTTGACAGGTGCTGGGAGAGCCTGGACTTTTAAAACACTCAAGGACTACTTGCAAGTCCTTCTGTCATCAGCATGAATAAAGTAACATGATGAGCAGAGAGTCTGCATAGTTATAACTTCAATTTTTTTACCCCTTTGATTCAACCACACCAAAAAGTTTAACGAATAAGAAAAATGGTGAAAATATTTAGGTAGTCTGGTAAGATCAGTTGATGAGGGAACACAGCAGTGAGGAAGTGGAAGGAATCTAGTTATCAATATTGTCAACCTTGCTGGAAAGCAGGGTTGATTTGGGACCCCAGATCTGGATTAGAGCAAGCTTAGTTTATTCAGGAGGGACATCTATATGTAGATTCACAGAAAATTGTACAGGGAAGAACAAGGCATTGGACCGACAAGGTAATGAACATTCAAAGAGGTAAATGACGAGGTTACCCAGCTTGTTATTGGCAGTGCCCTGCCTCTTAAATGTTCCTAAGTTTCTGTGATTTATACAGATATCAAATTGCTCTGTTTTGGGCTGAGATGCCCATACCCTCAGAATCCCCACTTTTCTTAAGCTGCTTTACAGTAAGTTAGGAATGTTCCCTGTAACATTGGTGGGTATTGGATCCTGACTGAAGTTTGCTGTTTCTCTTCCAGATTTTATGGACCTTCTCCATCTACCTTGAATCAGTGGCTATCCTCCCACAGCTCTTTATGATTAGCAAGACTGGGGAGGCTGAGACCATCACCACCCACTACCTGTTCTTCCTGGGCCTCTATCGAGCTTTGTATCTTGTCAACTGGATCTGGCGCTTCTACTTTGAGGGCTTCTTTGACCTCATTGCTGTGGTGGCCGGCGTAGTCCAGACCATTCTATACTGTGACTTCTTCTACTTGTACATTACAAAAGGTATGTCGGGTGCTACCTGCATTGTTCCTACAATCATGTAGGAGCTTGCTTGCCCAGCTCCCTTGCCCAACACTCTCCTAATCTGGCACTCTCACAAAGCAGAGCTGGCTTCAGAAAACATTTTAATGATTGCCAAATAAAATTCCGGATCAGGGTATCACCTGAAATCCTACCACTCAGCTAATCTCTAATTAATGTTTCAGTAAACATAATGCCAGACATCTCACTATGTATATACATAGATGCATGATTTAAACTACATGCTCTTCCCTGTTTTTTATCCCACTCACATTTTTTCATGTCAATAAATAGAAATCTGGCCAGGTGTGGTGGCTTATGCCTGTAATCCCATCACTTTGGGAGGCTGACGTGGGAGGATCACTTGAGGCCAAGAGTTCAAGACCAGCCTGGACAATATAGCGAGACCCTATCTCTACAAAAAAATTAAAAAATTTTTCCTGGCCTACAAAGGACAAGAAAAATAATAATAAAAAAAAAAATTAGCCAGGTGTGGTGGCATGCACCTACAGTCCCAGCTTTTTGGGAGGCTGAGTCAGGAGGATTACTTGAGCCCAGGAATTAGAGGTTATAATGAGCTATGATTATGCCCCTGCACTCCAGCCTGGGTGACAGAGCAAGACCCTGTATCTAAAATAAACAAACAAATAAAGTTTTCAATAGCCATAAAGTATCTCATTGTGAATATGTACCATAAGTCACTTGCGTTGTTTATTTTTACATTCATACGAATGTAGAACATGTGCTCTTTATAAAAATCCGATGAAAGCTATGGTTCTTGCTCAGGAAAATGCATACTGATACATATGCACACAAATTTATGCATATACTTTTAGGGGATTTAGGAGCCCTTAAAACCCAACCATAGATCCCAAGCTAAGAATTCCTGATGTACAGTAAAATTCCTGATAGTGGAATTCTGAGGTAAAAGAGCATATATATCTTACCTGATTTTTTTTTTTTTTTTTTTTTTTTTTTTTGAGACAGAGTCTTGCTTTGTTGCCTAGGCTAGAGTGAGTGCCATGGCGTCAGCCTAGCTCACAGCAACCTCAAACTCCTGGGTTCAAGCAATCCTTCTGCCTCAACCTTTCGAGTAGCTGGCACTACAGGCATGCGCCACCATGCCTGGCTAATTTTTTCTATATTTTTAGTTGGCCAATTACTTTCTATTTTTAGTAGAGACAGGGTCTCACTCTTGCTCAGGCTGGTTTCGAACTCCTGATCTTGAGCGATCCTTCTGCCTTAGCCTCCCAGAGTGCTAGGATTATAGGTGTGAGCCACCGAGCACAGCCTGATACTTTTTTAATGCCCCAAATTTCATAGGCCTCCCTATATGTTATATTTTAATATATGTTGATTAGGGTGAAAGTCATGATAACAAAAAGCTGCTATGAATTTGGTGGCAATCAAATTTATATTTTTTAAATACAATTGCTATTCCCATATACTTTACTATGTAGAATCTTGTGTATGACATACTTCTAGTAATGGGAAGAAGAAAAATGTAAGCTTGTCAATATCAGTAACCTTTTGTTTTTTCTCCTCTCTTTAAAATTATAGTACTCAAGGGAAAGAAGCTCAGTTTGCCAGCGTAAGTGCCAAAGACCATCACCAGCATCTGTCCTTCAGGGTGCTCGGACAGAATTCTTACCACAGCAAAGGCATAAGATGCTTGATATGGAAAATCAGAAACTTAACTCTTTTGTTGCAGATAGTCATCAGTGGCTCTGTAAGAACACAGAGGAAAAGAACCAGAAGGTTTCTGTTTAATGCATCTTGCCTTATCTTTTTTTATTACTATGTACAAAGATTTTTTTACACAAAGAAACTTAATGCTGTATTAATAAATTCAGTGTGTAGCTTCAATTGGAATAGTTCTAAAAGTGAAGATTTTGTGAGGAATAAGTGAAAACTTTTTTTTTATTTTAAAAAATTCTTTGACATTGTTGAGTCTTTGTGTCTGCAATGAAATTATACTCCTTGGCAGTTGGTAGATTATATATTCTTCCATGTATCAAACTTGCATTCCACTATATTTATTTTTTGCCAAAAGATGAGTTATATTTGTTTGAAATCTGAGGCAGTATGTTCAATTCGGTATATCTGTTCAAATTTACTCCTACCTGACATGGAATTCCTTCCTTGGATATCAAACACTACATTTAAGGTTGGTAAGGATGACTTGCAAGCCTATGGTTTTCATTACCAAAATTTTAAGATTCTGAATGTAGATGGAGTCTCATTTAAGAGTCACCAAAGGTGCCTGCCCTCCTTCCCTGGTGAGACTTGTCAGTTGAGACTGTCTCGAGAGTGCTGAAGAATTCAGTGGGCAGGGGTGCTAGCCACTTGCCATCTGAGTGTGGGGCAGGAGGGACATTAATGATATATTTTGGATATAGGACTCTGCTCCTCTGAGGACGTGAACATAAGTAGTTACCTATCACTTTAATTTACAGTTCCCAAAAGATTACTACAACCATGTCCATGCTCAGATTCAAATGGTTTTTCGTTTTGGGGTAGTAAAATCATTTATAATGTTTTTTAATTGGCAGCACCAATTACCATTCCTTATATTCTCTGTGTGTGTGTGTGTGTGTGTGTGTGTGTGTGTGTGTGTGTGTTTAGTGAGCTCTTGCATGACTTATCTTGTGTTACCATCCTAAACCGACATTAAACACAGAATAAACTGTCTTTTTTTATGAATTAGGCTTTTGGAACATCCTATGTTGGGATGATCTTTTATTTTTCAATTGGCAACAAAAGCTCTATAAGGCTACAAACATTTAAAGTCCACTTACTCTGTAAAGCTTTCTGTATTTTGTGAAAATATTAGAATTTTTTCCTCCTGATTTGCTATTATACTGATTTGCTACATTTTTTGATTTATGCAAAAGTCTGACTTTGTTTTTATGTGATGCACCATAAATATTAAAGTGTTGAATACTAACAGTGCTTACTACAAGAAGGATGTAGTATTTTTGCTTTCTGCATTAAAACATCTTCTGGAGGAAGGAAGCAGGATGGATTTTATTTTTATACAGTGTATGTCTTAACATCTTTCTAACTTGGCAGCGTAATTGCGTAGTTTAACCTCCCATCTTATCTCTCTCATTTTACTTTCCCCCCTTGCCTCATGTTTATGCTTTTTACGTGCCAGAGTATCTTTCTTTCCAGCATCCTAGTCTTCGTTTAGTTTCTGTGGTCTGTTTTCATCCTCCTTGGAAGATTCTAAGAGTGTGGAAGGGTGGAAAGTCCAGTCGTAGTAAGTTGATTAGACAACTTGCTGCCCAGACTGGGGGTTGGGTGGGGGGGGTCACACCTGTCTTTGTGCACATAAAGATCAAATGCAAGCTGGGACCGTTCATTGAAGAGCACCATGCATAGAACAGGATCTGGAACCTCAGCATACCGATGACATCTGTAGCCATTCTACTGAAGTAAAAATAAAATGGGCAAAGTTGTTACCACCATTCTCTGGTCAACCAGGATGACATCTTAATAACAAGGGTGCCCAAGTTGTAGTGTGGGACTAGGCCACATCCTGGCCAGTTGGAAACAGAGGCCTTGTGTGACACACCTTATGAAGCACTGTTTCATAGTTATTTTCACTACCAGAATAAAGGTTACCAGGTAATTAATATTTTTTATGGAGGTGTTTTTATTTGTGAATTTTAAAAATGTGAGCATGAAGACAAAGTTCACAAATTTGGCCAGTGGCTGATAACTAAGAAAAGCTGCTGGCTGTTTGCTGCTTACAGACACCCAGTCCAATCACATAGCATTTGATGAAAGTTTCCTTCTTCCTCACACTCTGATCAAGAGAGGAGTAGGTAGAGAAGTAGTTTTAATGGAGATTATGAATTATGAGAACCCTAAGTAAGAAAAGCACAAGCTTTGGGCTCAGACTTGTCAATAGTCTTGGCCCCCACACCTACAGCTCTGTGGCCTTTTGTTTCCTACGAGCCTCGTTCCTCCTTGCTTATGTGGAACAACTCCTGCAGCAGGATGTCTGTGAGGTTTAAATGAGCCACTGGCCAGGTGTGGTGGCTCACGCCTGTAATCCTAGCACTCTGGGAGGCCGAGGCGGGCGGATTGCTCAAGGTTGGGAGTTCGAAACCAGCTTGAGCAAGACCCCGTCTCTACTAAAAATAGAAAGAAATTAATTGACCAACTAAATATATATATATATATATACACACACAAAAAAAAAAAATTAGCCGTGCATGGTGGCATATGCCTGTAGTCCCTGCTACTCGGGGGGCTGAGGCAGTAGGATCGCTTAAGCCCAGGAGATTGAGGTTGCTGTGAGCTAGGCTGACGCCAAGGCACTCACTCTAGCCTGAGCAACAAAGTGAGACTCTGTCTCAAAAAAAAAAAAAATAAAACTAAAAAAGTAAATAAATTAATTAAATGAGCCACTGTCCATAAGCCTCATGACCCAGAGTGGTGTACTTTCAGCGACTCCCATTTTCCCTCGTTTTTTCTGCTTAGCTTGGGAAAGCTGCCTTGAAAGCTAGCTGGCAACTAGTTCTGGCAGGAGTCCTCTGGCTCATTTGATGATATTGGTCAGTAGTACCAGAAGATTCAGAGCCCTTTTTAGGAGGAATATATAGAATTGTCACTGTATTACAATGGACTTGTGGGTACCTTCGAAAACCAGTCGTCTGAGGCTTGATGACTGGTGATTGGATCTGGGCTCCGTGTGGGTTTTTCTGTGTGCCTTCGCCCTCTAGTGACAGAATATGGGATTTCCAAGGAAGCCTAGGTCTGTCCAGTACCGCCAGCACACCCATCTGGGTTGATCTTTGTAGTGTGGAATCCTGAGAGGTGCTATAGGTGTTTCTCTTCCAATTTTGAAGCAATTCCCCCGTTTATTCCTACAACTTAAAAGCAAGTTGCAGCATACATAGCATTAATCCTTTTAAACAAGGATACATTTTTGCAATATTAAAATATAACACTCTAGCTCTCTGTTCTGGTTTCACCTTGGGCACTTAAGAAGTGAGTGTCTTTAGGGGCAAGCACCACACTACACTTGACTCCATTACCAAAACAAAATGAACAGAACGTATTTACTTATCTAATAAGGTTTCTGTGACAATCAATGGACCTGTAATAAGGAAACTGGTATGTCCTGAAACCAAAAGAGTGATTTGTTCACTTCAAGGTCTAAAGACCAAAGATCTTGGGACTTTAAAGAATGCTTAGAAAAAACAACTATGCAAATCCCCAACCACCTGGCTAATGCTGCCCTCTCCCCAACTCAACATAGACAGTAGCAGCAGACATGGGTATTAATTTTACCCAGGACATAGGGATTTACTTGACTCAAAGGAAATCAAGGGAGAAAGGTATGAATCAATCAATTAGAAAAAATGAAAGTAAAGCTCACAGTTTCACCTAAGTTAATGTGAAGATGTGATGAAATGCCAAGAAAGTCTATAAGAATACTTTTTGTAATTTGCAAATAGTGAAGTTAGCCTGAAAGAACAAGCTGAAGATATGAAGGATTTTTTTTCCCAAAAAAATTAATGATAGAGCTAATATGGCAGGATGTTATTCCTTGTTAAATCCACATGGTGGGTCCTTAGGTGTCAGGTATCTCTGTACCAGAAATATTTTTAGCATTAAAAAAGAAGGCACTGCCAGACAAGGTGGCGCACGCCTGTAGTCCCAGCTACTCGGGAAGCTGAGACGGGAGGATTATTTGAGCCCAGGAGTTCTGGGCTGTGGTGCACTATGCCAATCAGGTGTCCGCACTAAGTTCGGCATCAATATGGTGACCTCCCGGGAGCGGGGGACCACCAAGTTGCCTAAGCGAACCAGCCCAGGTCGGAAATGTTGCAAGTCAAAACTCCTGTGCTGATCTGTAGTGGGATTGTGCCTGTGAATAGCCACTGCACTCCAGCCTGGGCATCATAGTGAGACCCCATCTCTTAAAAAAAAAAAAAAAAAAGGCATGATAAATTATTTACCTTTTCAAGAGCAATGCTTTGGTCTGGATCATTTGTTTTGGAAATACAAGTTCATTTTTTAAAAATAGATCTTTCTAAAAGATCTACAGAAGTCTTCCCTTATTCTCAGGGGATATGTTCTAAGACCCCCCCAGTGGATGCCTTTTTTTATTAACATGAATAGTACCAAATCCTACATATACTATGTCTTCCGATACATACATATCTATGATAAAGTTTATAAATTAGGCAGAGTATGAGATTAACAACAATAATTATAACAACACATTATAATAAAAGTTGTGTCCCAAGTCGCTGCAAAGACTGAAAAAGAAGTGTAAGTTTTCAAAATTAAAAAAAAGAAGGTATGTGAATTTCGTCTCTCAAAATATCTTATTGTACTTTACTCACCTATTTTTTGGACCATGGACAACTGAAACCATGAATAAGGGAGGACTACTGTATTTTAAAATAAATACTTTTAATAATAAAATTGGAAAACTTGTGTCTAAGGGAATGAATATGCTTTATGTGAAATGCCCACATGATGGAATATATTGTTTTCAAATAGGTCTCAATAGACCAATGGAATTATGCAGAAATGGCAGAATATATTTGCAGTGATTGAACTATCGAAAATTTACTTTAAAAAAAAGTGTATACTACCTGTTTCCCAAAAAACATCTTTTTAAATTAAATAGTTGTGTAGGTTGTTGTCTGTAACATTAAGTTCGTAATATCTTTACTAACAAAAGCTTATGTAGAAATATTATGTTATTACTAAACTGTACGAATCCTGTTTTTAAAAGAGAGTTATAACATTTAAGAATAAATATAGGGCCGGGCGCGGTGGCTCACGCCTGTAATCCTAGCACTCTGGGAGGCCGAGGCAGGCGGATTGCTCGAGGTCAGGAGTTCAAAACCAGCCTGAGCAAGACCCCGTCTCTACCAAAATATAGAAAGAAATTAATTGACCAACTAAAAATATGAAACCAGCCTGAGCAAGAGCAACCGAGCAAACGTCCCGCTCTCTACTAAAAAACATAGAAAGAAATTAAATGTGGCCAACTAATATATAATCAAAAAAAATCTAGCCAGGCCAATGAGGTGCGCATCGGTATAGTCCCAGCCCACTGGGGAGGCTGAGGCAGTAGGATTTGCGTTGACGCCAGGAGTTTGCAGGCGTTGCTGTGCAGCTAGGCTCCGACGCCATGGCACTCTAGCCTGGGCACCAAAGCGAGATGTCTCAAAAAAAAAATAAATACATACAAAAAAAGTTAATAGGGTTGTGCCTGGTGATTAGTATTTTATTCTTAAACTGGTTATAACTCCTCTTTTAAAAACAGGGATTCGTCAGCGTACAGTGATTCAGTAAATAACCCTATCATAATTTCCATACATAAGCCTGTTTGGTTAGTCTAAACGATGAAGACGTTACGAGAACTTAAATGTTACAGAACAACAACCGGTCACCAGACGTAATTTAATACTTTAAAAAAAGATGTTTATTTCGGGAAAGCAGCGTCAGTATACACCCTTCATTTTTTTAAAGTAAGAAATTTTGTTCCCGTATAGTCCTGCCAATCACTGGCAAATAAATAGTTCCTGCCCATCTTCCCATAAATTCCATTGGTCCCTATTGAGAACCTATTTGAAACAAATATATTCCAGTCATGTGGGGGCATTTCACATACCCCATATGTCATTCCCTTAGACACCAAGTTTTCCAATTTTATTCATAAAGGTACTTATTTTAAAATACAGTAGTCCTCCCTTAACGTTCCGATGCGTTTCAGTTGTGCCAGTGGGTCTCCCCCAAAAAATACCCGAGTCAAAAGTCACAATAAGCACTAATCTTTGAGCAGAACGAACCGATTTCAATACTTCTTTTAGTTTTTGAATATCTTGAAAAAATTACACTCTCTTTGTTCATCTCTGTGCAGTGCCGAGCGCAGGGAGCGGGGCCGCGGGCGATTGGGACACAACTCTTATTATACAATGTGGATTGTACTCAATGAGTTGGTTGTTAATCCTCTACTCTGCCTAATTTTGATAAACCTTTATCATAGAATATGTAACCCTCCGGTCAGCCAGACACAGCGATAGGGTATACTTACGAGGCCATCTTGGGGTGCGTCTATTACCACTCGTGTCATACAAAAACCAAAGGCACCACACACCTCGAGGGGGTCTTACGAGAGCCGAGACTCCCCTGAGAAGCGAAGCCGGCAAGACCTTCCTGCTACAGAGCTCTTTTAGAAAGATCCTACATTTTTTAAAACACATGCAACCTTGGTAAAATTCCAAACATGAATACACAATCATCCAGCACAAACGCATCTGCTCTTGAAAACGGCTAAATAAGTTTTATCAAATACGCCTTTTTTTTTTTTGCGAGAGGAGTGCGGGTCTCACACTATGATTCGCCCCCCAGGCCTGGAGATCGCAGCTGCGGCGATCACCCAGGGCACCCGCAGCGATCGCACTACAGATCAGCACGAGGAGGGTTTTGACTTGCCACATTTCCCGACCTGGGCTTGCGGTTCCCGCTTCAGGCGCCAAGCGCCTTGCGTGGCGGTCCCCCGCTCCCCGGGGAGGGTCCCACATCTATCTGATGCCGAAAACCTTAGCGGCGGAAGCGCCCCACATTTGATCTGGCATAGGTGCCACCACAGCCGCACGAACTCCCCTGGGGCCCCCGCTCCAAATAACTCCTCCCGGCCCCCTCAGCCTTCCCCTGAGTACCTGCGGGACTACCAGGGCGGCTGGCGCCAA